ATTCATTATTTATTTATTCGTATTGTATTTTAGGTTTGTTTTGCATTCAATATTTCATGTACATTTCATTTCACTCCCCATTTACCATCCCTAAACATAACACAGTCTCCTCCCCTCCCTGCCTAATAACCCCCCCATGCCCCTCACAGTTATGGACTCCTGTGTGTCCTCTATTACCTCCATGCGAATATTACCTCTCTGGTGCCCCATGGTCAATTGCTCCAAGTGATGAATTTCCATAGAGTATGTGCATGCATCACCCTGGGTTGAGTGGTCTGCATATACATCTTGTTTACTATTAGGCCAACCCCTGGGAGTGAGTTTTATTCCAGGCCCCAAATGTAACTCAGGGCCATAGTAATGGGGGTCTCACCAGACTCCAATCTGACCAGTAATTCTGGTTATATTCATTATTGTGTTTTTTGATTTTGTTCTACATTTTTCCTCCCACTCTATCCAGGATCTCCAGTTTTGATCCTTTCCTGAGTGGTTGGCATTGGCAGCCAGGCACCATCTAGTTCTTCTGGTCTTGAAGTCCATTATGTCCTAGGGCTGATTGCTTCCAAATGTCCTTGTTTTTTTGTACTCTTCTTCACTACCAATGATCAAAGAACATTAGCTGCATCTTAGATGGCCTCTTGAAAGCTTTTAAGACCCCAGTCGCTACTCACCAATGTAGGATGAAGAACAAGACTTTTATGTATTTTGTTGTGCCAATTGAGTTTGGTGTCCCTTAGTACTATGATCCTGAGTTGGTAGATCCATTGGATCTCTCTTCCACAGTGTCTGGCTGTCTGTGCGGGATTATTCTGTGCCTGTATTCTTTTGTTTCTGTAAGGATTGTGGGTATTTTTTATCACTTGTATATATGCATGATTAGCCTCATCTGAATCTGTCCTTGATCTAGAGTACAATCCTGTTCACTGATCCCTATCTGATCTTCTCAGATGTTTATGTATTTGTCTGTAACCTGGTGTTTATTTAGTGTTAATGGTAATGCAATATTTTGGATATACTGGTTGTATTACAATCTGTCGTCTATATCTTATGTGCACAATTTGGTGTCCTTCCTTTTCCTAATGTAACACACCACTTTTGATGAAGGACAGAATTAGAACAAACTCAACAAAGGTACAAAAGATCTCAACAACACACTCAACCAACTCAACCTCATAGACATGTACAGAGCTCTTCATCCAACAAAAGCCCAATACACATTCTTTTCTAGTGCACTTGGATAGTTCTCCAGAATAGACCATATGTTAGGTCACACAACAAGGCTAAATAAATTTAAAAACATTGAAATACTACAAAGATCTTCTTGGATCACAATGCTATAAAATTAGGAATCAATAAGAGGAAGACCAAGGAAAAGAAAATCTAATATGTGGAAACTGAATAATACACTGCTCAAAAACTATTGGTTAATGGGAGAAATAAAATTTGAAATCATAGTAATAATAATAATAAATTCTAGAAACAAATGGCAATGAAAATATAACCTACTAAACCTTTGGGACACTATAAAAACAGTAATCAGAGGTCAATTTATAGCAATAAATGCATGTATCAAAAAAGAAGAATCAAAATCAGGACTAACTGAACAGCTCCAAATATTAGAAAAAGATCAACAAAAGAAACCTAAAGTATTCAGAAGAAATGAAATAATAAAAATCAGAGCAGAAATAAATGAAGCATAAAATGAAAGAAAATAGAGAAAATTACTAAGACAAGAAGATTATTCTTTGCAAAGAGTTAAAAAAATTGACAAATCACTGGGAAATTTAAAAAGGAAAAGAAATATAAAATGCAAATAACATGAATAATAAATGTAATGGGTGACATCACAACAGATCCAATTGAAATAGAATAAAATAATAACAGAATATTATGAAGAATTGTACCTTTTTGCAGGAAAAAAAAAAGAATTGCTTGGGCAATCTACTTCCAAAGTGATACCGCCTCAGAAACCCAAGGAGGGGTCACTATGAATTTGATCCGACTGGATGGCAGTGAGTTTGGTGTGTTTCTTTTTTTTTTTGTTTTTTGTTTTTTTGTACTCTCACAAATTCAAAAACCTAAAAGAGATGGACAAATTTCTAGAAACATAAAACTTATCTAAACTAACACAGTCTGAGATAGAGTACTTGAACAGAACCACAACAAAGAAGAAATTGAGCAAGTCACAAAAATAACTCCCCACCAAAAAAAAAAAGCAGTCTTGACCCAGATCAGATGGCTTCACAGGAGAATTATATCAAATATTCATAGAAGAGCTGAAAAATATGCTACTCAAACTAATCCAAATCCGGATAAAGACACCACTAAGAAAGGAAACTACAGACCAATATCCTTCATGAATATAGATAGATTTTCAACAAAAATCTCCAACAAAATCCTAGGCAACAGAATCCAACACCATATCAAACACTAATACACTATGACCAAGGGGGATTCATACCAGGAGAAGCATATATCTCATTTTTCTTGTCTTAATAGTATTCCTTGTGATAATATAATTCTAATTTACATAAGTTTGATTATATGACAATATACAATTATTAATTATATATCATATAGGCACCTGACCCAAGCCATGGTTTTTTCAATAGCCTCATATGCGTGGAAAGCTTGACAGAGAATAAAGAAGACCACAGAAGAATTAATGTATTTGAGTTATGGTGTTCCAAAAAATACTCAATGTACCATGGACTGCTAGAAGAATGAAGAAATCTCTCTTGGAGGAAGTATACCCAAAATGCTCCTTAGAAGCGAGAATGGTGAGACTTCATCTCTTTGCCTTTCAGCATATCAGGAGGGACCAGAAGGACATCATGCATGGTAAAGTACAGGATCAGCAAAAAAGAAAGTCCTCAATGAGAT